GGGTCTATGGAGGTCCTGAGTACCAGAGGGTCTATGGAGGTCCTGAGTACCTGAGGGTCTATGGAGGTCCTGAGTACCAGAGGGTTTATGGTGGTCCTGAGTACCTGAGGGTTTATGGTGGTCCTGAATACCAGAGGGTCTATGGTGGTCCTGTATTAGCTGAGGATCACATGACCTCACATTAGTTTTAAAGTTTGACCCAAACAAAAAGGTGTTTTTCAAAATAAAACACTTTGAAGCGGACAGGTGAAACAGGTTCTTGTGGACCGGCCTGAAGATTCCCTGAAATGATGACTCAGCAGTTTGTTTCMCACATGGAACTGTTTCTACTGCAGCTGGATTAGAGGTCATAATCTGAGACTTCCTGTAGACGTGCTCCTGACACCGTGTCAGTCTGCGTCTGCTCGGGGTCTGTTTGTGTCACAGCTGCAGCCGGACCCCCTCACGCTCCAGGACCAACGAGTCAGCAGATCTGATCGAWTTCTGCCCCTGCTGGCCGACAGCRAGCAGCTGCAGGTCAGACAGCAACACAAACACTTGGGCTCAGGTCAGCCCGGGTGACCTTTGACCTGCGATGAACATCACATCCTGATGAGGCGTTTAAAGACAGTCGGACTTTCAGACGCTCTGGTGTTTGTTGTTACAATAAGGCAAATATCAAATATATTTATGAAAACATTCCTTCAGTTMCATAATAAACAAACATTATAAGCCAGTAATAAACAGAGGTACCAACAGAAATAAAAACAATTTTAAAAAGAAAAATTATTAATGGACCGACCTGTAGCCCACCCCTCCCAAGGTGTGCATCACTAACTGATGTTTTTAGTGTCAAGAGACTAAAAGCTGCCAGATATCCTCAACATCCCTCCATTTATCTTTAATCAGTTTAATAAGTTTGGTTGCAGTTACAACACTGTATGCTAGAGGGCGCTATGCTACGTTGAGTTTTTAAACCTAGTTTTATGCTTCAAAAGATGATCTTTCTAAATTACTTTATAGGTCCAAACAAAAGGAAGGATGATGGTAWCTAATTTATTAAAATAGTGATTTAGTAAAAAATTTGGGTAGATTTTGAAAGTCGTAAAGTATCTTAACAGCATTCTAACAGGAAGAGTTCTCCAAAACTGACTCTCGTGGTCAAGCTTAAGACAGGATAAAGAGCATCATGTTGGTGATACCACCCAAACATGAGTCAAGTTGTCTCAAACTCTACAGAAAGGAAGCTGTTCTTTTAGAGAGCCAAATAAATAAAACATTTCCARSACTGCAGGACAGTTATCTGAGGCTGGATGTACATTAAAATGTCATCTGCATACAGTGAAACCTTATTGTTTGTGTGTTCTGTATTATAGCTGTGATCGGATGGTTTCAGTGGATCTACAGTATCCCTTCATTGTGACTAACCAGGTAGAGTGAAGTGAAAAGAGTCTGAGTAGTGAGTATCCTGGTGCACGGGTTGTTGTATAAAAGTTTAAAACAGGACAACAACCTTTGACCCAACCTAAAACTGTTCAAAACAATAAATAAATAAGACCATTCTAGTGATCGTCTTTTCAGCATCTAAACTAAAAATAATATCTTGTGTGGGGCCCGGGTAATGTCCGCCTGTGAATCGTCTGTCATTTTCAATTTTTTTGTAACTGCCTGACTAATAATTTATATGGTTCATCACTAAATTCTAAATAGTTTGGTTTAGTAAAGGTAAACGCTCCACAGTCTGTCAGACAGGATTTTATTAAACTTGTATCTAAGTGCTGAAATGTCGTTATAGGTTTCCAGGAAAGCCTGTTGAAAATGATCCATATCTGGTTATTGGTTCTTCTAGTTCTGCTTGTTTTGCGTTTCTTGAGGGATGAGGGGTAACATATCATACAGCCTCGGTTAGGCATAGTTTCAGAACGCGGAAACATAAATGACAGAGCTATGATCAGATGATCATGACATTGTAAGAAAATAGCAAGTTTTCATCAACATCTATGTTGATGGAAAACTCGTGTAAACACTGTGTACCATAGACCACACCCCTGCATCAAGTCTAGCATATTAGAGTTACATCACCCCCTTCTTCCCAGCATGCATTATGTTAGTTTAACAGTGTGCATTAGTCTTCCTACCCTTTCTGTCTGACATATGTGACAATGCACCACCCAAACCCCCACACTTGACCCTAGTAGCTCCACAGTTAGGGAGTCTGTAGACCAAAATTTATTGGTGTGCCTCATCCCTGGGGACTATAATCCAGAGTTTTAGTAGTCCTAAGGAAGTTCAATAAGTAAAACTCCAACTTCAGTGGCTTATAACCCCGTCAAAGGCTCGATGTACAATAAAGAAAAAGGTCTACATGTCCCAGGGTAGACCAGGTTGATAAAAAAACAGAAAGAAGTATTACCATTGTCATCTCATGAAGCTTACATTCACTGGAGTTCTCCCAAACATCTACATTAGTAATCCAGTAAGCTGAAAATAGAAGTGTGCTCATTCATGAATGTACCATGTGACTCACTTATGTCCCCAGCTGAAAAGATGCTCTGCAAACCATCTGTGAATGTGCTCTCCTTCCTGTTGTGGGTCTGTAAATGTGCTCTCCTTCCTGTTGTGGGTCTGTAAATGTGCTCTRCTTCCTGTTGTGGGTCTGTGAATGTGCTCTCCTTCCTGTTGTGGGTCTGTAAATGTGCTCTCCTTCCTGTTGTGGGTCTGTAAATGTGCTCTSCTTCCTGTTGTGGGTCTGTRAATGTGCTCTCCTTCCTGTTGTGGGTCTGTAAATGTGCTCTCCTTCCTGTTGTGGGTCTGTAAATGTGCTCTCCTTCCTGTTGTGGGTCTGTAAATGTGCTCTCCTTCCTGTTGTGGGTCTGTAAATGTGCTCTCCTTCCTGTTGTGGGTCTGTAAATGTGCTCTACTTCCTGTTGTGGGTCTGTGAATGTGCTCTCCTTCCTGTTGTGGGTCTGTAAATGTGCTCTCCTTCCTGTTGTGGGTCACTGGCAGCTCAGCCAGGTGTAGACGTCTTAACTTGACACCAGGTTTGTCTCAGCCCGGTGCTTCAGCCCGGCAGGAGAGTTCGCAGGCCTTGGTCCATGAGGGGTTTAGACATGGTCTTCAGAGGATCTCCTGAGAGTCAGGTGCTGTGGTGGGTCACTGACTTCAGGGCGGACCCCCAGGGCCCKATGAGCTCGGTCAATCATCGGCCTTTCGTTGACCTGCATCACATCTTTTAGCATCGAACTCTGCTGCTTAGACGTCCCTCCAGATCCACGCTGAGATGTTGGACTTGATGCAGCTACATGTGACGTAGCATTAGCTGACTCTTCTAAACGTTTTAGCGTGTTTAGCCGTGTTTGTACAACAGTGGAGATATCATCACTTCCTGTTTTCAGAGCAGTCATCTCCGCTCTCAGACGTGTTCTCACATCTCAAATCTTCTTGTTAATTTTGTCACAAATATCCGACTTCAACCTCAAAAGTTCTGCTTGCAGAGATGCTACAGCAGCTAGCACGGGTTTGTTTTGTAGCATTTGTGTTACTCTGCAAACACTGGGAGCTTTGCAGGTGTTCCCTTATTGTTAGAGTCTGAGGAGTGCTGGTTTCAGTATAAACCTCAGAGGATCTGTTAGGTAGGACTCTCAGCTACTACCACCCAAACTGTAGCTCCGTATCTGTAAAACTGGACGATTTAGAGCGACGTTTGCTAACACTCTTGAAAGCATGGGCGTTGACCTCAGACGAGTGGGCGGGGCTAGATCTCTGCTCCTGGTGAAGCCTCGGCCTGTGGCGGGATTATGATTATCTCTGCAGTTCAGAGGATTACAAACAAACATCAGAGCAGGAGATCAGCATCTCTGAATGTCTGGGTGTTAAAAATAATCCGAGGGAATTTTCTGCAGCAACRTTTAGACTTTCAGAGAATAAAAAAAAACATTTTAATCTGACTGCAGCTGCTGCATTCAGCTGAAAATCCTCCCATCAGCAGAAACATCAGACCATCTGATGAGTTTTATTTTACTCCCAGATTAATTTTTCATGTCTGATGGCTTTGTGTGTGTGTGTGTGTGTGTTCATACCTGGTTGTTTCCAGAGCTGCAGGCAGGAAGCTGATTGGCTGATTAGATGCAGGTGAGCTGATTACAAACAGGAAGCAGGAGGTGAAGCTGAGGCCGCCTACAGGCCGAGAACTCAAACTACAACAAAACTAAACTTTCATTAATTTAAAACATCAAAAAACAAAGTAAACGAAGCAACAAGTCAAATAGAATCACATAAACAAGTAAGAAATAAACAAAATAAAAATGTTTTTATTTCTTTAAACCTTGAGTAAAGCTAATGGATCCAACACTGAAAATAAAAATTAACTAAATTGAAAAGATGAGCAGAATAAAACAAAAAAATAAAACTTAAAAACTAAAATAAGCAAAGCCAAAGCTAAATGCTAAAATTTTCTAAACTGCAGCTAACAGCTCAAATTAGCAAATCTGCAGCTAAATGCTAAAAACTGGAATGGAACACTGAAATTTTCTAAACTGTTAACAGCTAAAATGAGCTAAACAATAGCTGAAAGCTTAAAGAAGCAAAACTGGAACTAAAATCAGCACAACTTTAGGTAAAAGTTAAAATCGGGTAAATAATATAAAGCTAGAAAAAAGTAGCTTAAAACTGCCATGAAGCGTTAGCTAAATGCTAAATATTGTATACCAGTGGCTTAACAACTAAGATTAGCTTAAGTGATAAACTTAGTCAGGCTTAGTTAAACCTGATAGCTTATCTGCTCACTCAGTGGTTACATTCAGGGGTTGTTTACCTGTCAGGTTGTTTACCTGTCGGAGGTTGTTTACCTGTCGGGTTGTTTACCTGTCAGGTTACCTGTCGGAGGTTGTTTACCTGTCTGGGGTTGTTTACCTGTCAGGTTGTTTACCTGTCGGGGTTGTTTACCTGTCAG